AAAGAGAGAGATAACATGAAATATCATGACCTTGTAGAATGATAAATCAGGGAGTTGGCTTCAGGCTTTCAGTATTTTAAAGTCAGACATCTCATCCCAGTGATCCTCCCAGCTAACTAGGTGGTGAGCCAAGCAACATCGTTTGGGGACAGGGCTCCAGGTGGCGTATTGAATTGATAATACTTGAGATTGCACATCACTTGACCAAAGATGGAAGACTCTTCAGGATGGCAGTGTTATTACCACATGGACTTCACCCCAAACAGTTGAGGACATCCACTTCGGGGTGGTGCTGGAATAGCCAGTAGGCTCCCGCCAGTAGCAAATCACGTCGCGATGTGAACTTGAGGTAGTACACATAGGCTTGACGGAGCATTTCCCCCTTGCGGGGTCCACCCTCTATGCCCGTGTCGTTCATGTAGAAACTGATAAAGTCGTGAGACGAGTCGTCTACCAACAAGGTGACCACCACATTCGGCCGGGGGTAGAAAGGTACGAGCAAAATCCTCGTCGCATGGAAACTGAAGCGCCACCTTGAAATTCTGAGCCACATACGACTTGTAGGCTTTTTTAAGGCTGCTTATGTCGTCGTCTGCTGTTAGGAGACGCAGCGGCGTCCATGCAGACTCTTCTTCTGATGGATGCACAATGCGGATTCGTTGTTGGTATCGTTCCTGTTGTGCCGGAGTCCAATTGGATGTGAGCCATCCAATTTCGCACAGTTTGGGGACTTTGTCGGGATTGGGGAGATGAAAGTAATCGGCGGATGTATAGGGAGTCTTCATACTGTCTCCCGACGTGCAAATCATGTGTTGGATTCCCCTGGCATGACATCGTTTGGTGATTTCCGAATAGAGAAAGGGACACAGGCGTTTCCCGCGATGTCCCTCGGCCACACAGACAAAATCAATCATGGCAAAATTGGGAGCAATCGAGGACGAATTGTCTTCTTCCGCCAAAGAATATCCGAGGTCTTGGTGGTGCAGGAAAAGAGGAACGGCAACAATCAGACCTACCAGTGGGTTGTTGGCGTCACTATTGTCGTTGGTATCCTTAGTAGCGGTAATTCCTACCAGGAGACTCGAATAGTCATCGTCGTCACGTTTTGTGGAAGTGAAGTTGATGGCCCATTTTAGAAAATCGTTGTGCAAGCAAAATCGGAAGATACCATCCGAATCTTGAACGTAATGTTTCCTTATTAGTAAGTCTCCAGCAGCATTTAGAAAAGCATCTCGACCACCGGGGTATTCTTCTGCCGAAACGACTGTGTATTCGTCCGATGATAGCGGCTGGGCATGGAGCTCGAGTTGTGCTAGAACATCAACGTTTTGATCTCTTCGTTGACTGTCCCAAAGGTATCGCCAATGGCTGGGATCCACAGTAGTAGCAGTATCCATTGCTGGTGGAGAAGCATTGTGTTGGGGGGAGTTTGGCTGAGAAGGGAGAAGTGAACAACAAAACTGGAGAGATCTTTGGATCTTCTCAAAACACGTCTCGTAAAAGGACAAAGCCTCTTGGCAACATTACAGCTTCTCTGGCTTGCTTTGGTGTCGGTACTGGTACACTGTACGACACCGTTGCTGGTTTATCCTCCATGTGCGTGGGTGCATGATGCTTGTTGGATGACAATCTCGAGTTTACTTGTGTTATGCTAGCTAGCTAGCTAGCTGCTACCGGTAGCATAGCCAGTGTATCAAGCCCACAACACCGAGCTTTGACATTGTTGCCCGTTGGATTTTGACTTGGCATCTGGTGTCGTGGAGATGAATTGTCCTGCAAGCCAGGATGATCGTGAGAAGATTGTGAGCACTGACCTGCTTTTAGGAGCAAAATGGCTTCAGTAGCGCCACTAAAGTAGAACAAATCCGTGACAGCATGGCCTTTTAACCAAACAAGCAATTGGATGCATCGCAGTTAGAACAGGTCGAGAAGCAAAAGTAACGCAAATGAACATCCCTCCAAAGTCGCCTTTCGCTTGGTTACCTTGACAAATGCCAGACCCAACACTAACAACGCCGTAAAGGTAATCAAAGTAAGCCCGATTTGCAGCGTCTTGGCGTGCTCATCTTGAGGATCCATCTCAAGATTTTCCTCCATCACAACGCGAACAAAAAGTGCAGCAAATGCACGAGAGAGACTTTTCCGTAAGGGAAGCTGCTCTTTGGTTTGGGCCATCGGCGGTGGCGTTTGTACGCTACGAGTGCGGCAGCATCTGGGAGGGCGTCGTCCTTTTCGTTTCTGGCTATGACGGCATACAGGTCGTGGGGCGAGAACTTGAAACGAGGCGACACCGATCCATTGATCGGCACGATACTGCCGTCTTCGGCTACCGACCATTGACCAAAACCAAAGCGAGTATGCGCATCAATTTTTGTTTGCATGACCCTTTCCCTCGCTTCAATCCACATACCCGTACAGATACTGCCGTCCATCATGGTAAGCAGTTTTTCGCTTAATTTGTCGCTGCACTGTCTCTAGTAGCTAGAGCCTCGGTCTGCAATCAATGTGCCCGCCCAACTCCCGCCGGATCTTCCAACGATGACCCTCCTTCCCCCGAAAACTCGAGCCCGCAGCGGCAGTGTCTCGATCGAGCCCCCGCCGCTGCAGCGCTGAGGCCCCGTCCTAACCAGCGATTGTGACCTCTTTATTCCTCCCTTCGTTCGTGAAATCAATTTAACTGTTAAAATCGGCTTGCTTTCACTCCATTTCCACGAAAGCTGCGGTACGGCGAACCATTGATTTCCCATTCTCAATTCGCCGTACCGCAGCTTTCGTGGAAATGGATTTCGCTTAGAGCCAGCCGAGCTTCCGAAAACGTCAGTCGTCAGCCACCCAACGAATCCTGGTTGATCCACATCAATCCTGGTGGATCCACATGCACGAGGATAGCTATGGCAACCCACGAGATTCTATCAAAGAACAATCATATGCGATTTTCACGAGTTTTCCTGACGTACGGTGATTGCGTTTTGGCAGAATCTGGTGGGTTGGCCATTTTCGTTAGAGTTGGGGATTCGAGGTGGTTCGTGTTGGCGTGCGAACGTGCGAACCACTGTATGTGGATAGGAATGAAATCTTGATTCGTACAACTAAATAAATCGAAGAAATAAATGTGTTTCGCGAATGCACGGAGGACACACATGGAGAATGGATAGGACCTCGCCTGAGGCGAGGCCCTAAAACCACATGTTTGTTGCTCTGTGCATAGGTGAAACCAAGATAACTGTTAAAGTCGGCTGGCTTTCCCTCTTTTTGCCCATTAATTTCGGTACGCCGTATTATCAGTAATTTTGCATTCTCAATTCGCCCTACCAAAATTATGAGGGAAAAAGAATTCGCGTAGGACCAATCAAAACGCTCGAGCATATCGATCTCGAAAATAGCCACATATCCTTAACTCCAATGAACTAGGTTGACCGATCAACAAGATATTTCGAATGTTCAATTGAATGAAGCGATCGACTACCAGTAAACGTACCAGCAGACCCATCTCGACAACCAAGTCGTTAACCTATCAAGCTAAGAGTACCATACAAGCCACTACCATTGCATGCTATTTAGCCTTCTTGGTTGTCCAGATGGGTCTGTCGGTAGCTACCGTAGCCGCTTCGATCGAACGCTGCTTCGCTGTTATCTCGGATGATTCCATGATTCGAATAAAACTATTCGAATGAAACTTGAGAGTCACTCCACTCGCTGTTCTATACAGGAACACGTCTCCCCTGGTTTAGAGGCGAGATGACACTTAGAGCAAGACTGGCTGGGCGAGAGCGGTAAAGGAGAGCCAACGGCTCGGAACGCGCGAGACCGGCAAGGCGAGATCTAAGTGACAGCGAGACTCAACCAGTGGAGATGCGTTAATGTTGGAACCCGACGAGAAGCGAGCTTAAGTAAAACATGTGGCGGTTAGAAAAAGAAAATGTGACCGTTAATATGTCCCCTCCAGACCGAGTCCAGACATGTCTGGAGAACTTCAACTTGTGTAGACTTGTCGATGAGATCCAGTCAGGGTAGATGCACAAGAGCTGGGAATGGAGAACTCTATTGGTGTAGATCCTCCTTCCACTGGCACTTGGGAATGGACCAGCCACAAAGCTGGCTGCCACTGTTATTCAATCTCCACAGCAATGATTGAATAACTTACTCTTTGCCTTGGCACAATCCACACAGGAAGGCTTCAACTGTGGGGAAACTAGTGCTACTGAGGCTGTATCTGGTCAACTATCCTTTCATTACTTCTTCTTCTTTAAACTATGCTAAAATCAACTGAACACAAAATCCTCGGCAGCACTCAGCCATGCAGCTTTGGCTCTTCTCTTGCATCTCATTTGGCTGGTGCTGGCAAGCTAACTTTCTATATTGGTCTTGGCTGAAGAACTGCATCATCCTTGGGTATATAGAGTTCCTCAGCTATTTCTGTATTGCCAGATGGCTGCACTGCTGACCTTACTGTTGGAGTATACAGATGTCACAGCGATTCTTCCACCTGGCTAAACCAGCACAGCTGCTTCGCACCACAATGGGAGTTCACGTGGATTCCCACTCATCGCTCCCCACCATGTGATGTGTCCATGGTGGTGTCCAGGAGATCAGCTGTGTCTCCTTGCCAGAACAGAACTGCCTTCAGGATGGGCCATATCTGGGAGTAACCCCAGTGTTTCGTCAGGATGTCTGCGGGGTTGATCGCTCCCGGTAGATGATGAAACGAGATGGTCCCTGCAGCAATGGCTTCTCTGACGAAGTGGTAGGAGAGGGCGTGATGTCTCTTCTTGAGGGGCGAATGGGGCTGGGTGGAACTTGTCACCACAGACCCATTGTCGCCAAACATGTATGTTGGCCCCTTTACCTCCACACCAAGGTACCTGAGTGTAACTCTGGCTGCAATGGCCTGTTGGGTGGCAACCCTAGCAGCAACGAACTCAGAGCCGTATGTGGCTGCTTCCACAGTAGCTTGCTTCTTGCAGTACCATTCGAATGGGGTCTGGTTCACGCCATTGACCCAATCGTGGTATATGTTTGCATCCACATAGGTCGTCAATACTACCGGCTTGCCCTTCGGCTGTGGGGCATCTACTGGGAGTTCCTCCTGTGCCTCCCCATAGACCGTCCTTGTCCAGTCGTAGGTTCGGTATTCCAGTTGGGAGTAGTCTGGCTCGTTGGTGCGGATCCTGATTCCTGCCTGGTTCATCTTGACCAAGAATCCAGTGATCCTCTTGAGTCTTTCCAGGTGCCCCACTCTGGGTGCCACCCTGAAGGACGACATTGACATTACAGAGACTGCAATATCAAATCTCCCAAGTGAAATTGCCCATTGCAATGCTCCAATCAGGGACTGGTATTTTGAGATCCCATCATCATCCAGGAGAGGAGAGGTATCAAGCTCTGGGTGGTCGTTCTTCTCCACTGGACTGGTTACCTTAGTGGATGGATTCTCCCCAAACAAGGATACGTACTGGGCCTTGACACGTTCAATGTACTTTCTTGGTGTCATGGACAGGATTCCGTCGCTATCCCTTTCAAAGTCACATCCCAGATGGAAGGTAACAGGTCCAGTTCCCTTGAGTTTGAACTTGTGTGGTGGAGCCTGCAGCAGATCGATGATGACTTGAGGTTGCTTGGAAGCTATCAATAGGTCGTCAACATAGCAACCGATGTACTCATAGTGGTCGCCACAATCACGCATCCAGATATCTGGCTCAGCCTTAGAGGGCTTGAAGCCAAATCCGTGAAGCACATCATACAGTCTATCATGCCAACATTTGCCTGATGACTTGAGGCCATATTGGGCCTTGATCATCTTCATCGTATGCCCAGCCATGTCTCCAAACTCCCCACCAGCAATAAAACACACCTTCTCAGTCGTGTAGCTTTCCAGGTATGCGTTGCCAATGTCCGTTGCCCAGAGTTCAAGCCCATTCAACTCAGCCAAGAAACTAACCAGACGGATGCCTGTAAGGACACAACACCTGAGTAGGTTGGGTCTACTGGTGTCTCTGTCCTGTGGCCTCCTGCCACAAACCTTGCCTTGTGCCGCCCGTCGTGTTTGACGGCATAGACCATATGACATGGTATCTTCTGGTAGCCTGTTGTTCCCAGTGACTCGAAGGTGTCGTATTCCATCAATTGGGCAATCTCCAGTCTCTCTGCATCCTGCCACTTACTGTTGCCATTTTTCTCGTCAATGAAAACAGCTTCAGCGTGGTTTCTTGGGACCTGGTAACCATATTGATAAATGGGCTTGGTGCGGAAGCTTTTCAACTTTGCTTGATGTACCATACGTGCGAACACCTTGGAGTTCTTGGTGTAGGGCTTGCATCGCTTCCATCCATCGACCTTGAGCAGGCCATTCTTTGATGCGTAGATGGAAATTGACACAGGGTCATCATTGAAGATGCTCCCCATATCCTCCCAAGAAGTCTCCCCACTGGCCCATCGAATCAGCACCTCGTACTTGGACTTAGTTCGGGAGGGACGATGTCGGATGACAGCCTCGATCCGGTACATGTCATCCTTGTCCAGGTCCCTTTCAACCATTCCAGATTTTTGAGTATGCCAAAACTTCCTCAAAGTACTCGTCCCCATGTTTACACTTGAACCTGTATACAGCTGCTGATCCGTCTGCGTTGTTTCTCCTGTGCCTCGGCAGACACAATCTTGGCTCTATGCTGCTCGCCTTCCCGTTGGGGTGGGTGATAAAGGTCCTGTTAAGAAGGTTGGTGATGTCAATGATTGGCAGGTTGCCACCGTCTAGGACATCCTTGTGTTCAAGGTTGATAGGATATCTTGCGTATGGAGTTGTGAAACTCCCCATTCTCCTCCGTCTCTCTATCTCGATGCCTTTCTCAATCACTTCAGTCTCCGGAGCGGCCCCGACTACAAGGTCAGCTTCGCTTGTGGAGCCTTCTGTCCTGAGATTGGCTTTGGCTTGGGGGCCAGTTTCGGGGCTAGTCCATCGGCCTTCCAGTTGCTGAGTTCAGCTCCCTTCCTTGCCGTCCTGGCCACCGCCCTGCATATGACCTTGCCTGACTCCGTCAATATCTTGTAAGTCATCCCATGACCCACGTCCTCCGCTACACCGACAAACCGACCCACCGCCTCAACAGAATCTTCTGGAAATGAACCACCGTACTTCTGGTAATATACAGGTTCGTAGAACTCAAACTGAATAAGGGCTGAGATATCCGGTGTGAAACCGAACAGCCACTCAAAAGGTGTGCGCCAACCAAGGCATTCCAGGGCGATGTGGTTCTGTAGGGTGGATATGAACTGTCCACACAAGAGCCAGCACTCAGAGGGGACATCCCGGGTGTCCAGTACCATTTGGATCTTTGCTTTCGTATCCCTCCAGCCCAACTCAGCAAAGTTTTGGTTGCCCTTGTAGGCCTCAGAGTGCCAGTCGTCGATGCAAAAGGTCCTGTAGATATCCTTGACCCTCTGGTTGCACTGGGCCTTAGCATTGTCGGACCGTATCCTGTTCATGGCACCAAGCTTTCTGATCTCATCCATCAGATTCCTGATATAACTGGCATCGGAGTTTCCAGCGGGGCGAAGTGTCCTGTAGTGGGAGGTCCTGCCAATGAAAAGTTGGGCTGCAGTGCTATGAATCTCCGCCAGGGAGCTCAGTTGTAGGAACACAAGAGCTGGGAGGGAGATCTCTGGTTGATGAAGATCTCCTCCACTGGCTGAAAGGCCAGCTCAAAGAGAGCTGGTTCAATGCTACCCAATCACTGCTTCAGAGTACTTGGGGAGCTGGTTACATTGCCCTAGCACATACCACACAGGAATCTATCTACTGCAGGGCTGACGGTGCTACTGGGTCTCAGGGGTTACTCTTTCATTACTATCTTTCTTACTATAAGCTAAACATCATTACCACGATTTCACTCCAGTTGACAGAACTGGCTCTTTTGGAGAGGATATCCACAGTTGGAGATCCTAGGAGAGGACTGTTGGTCTGGAACATTCCAATGTATCTAGGCTGAAGGGTATGTATGCTCTGTAACACATAGACATGCCTCAGCTATATACAAATTGTCACATGGCTGCAATGCTGTGTGTACTGATTGACTGTACACGATGAAAAGCATTGTTTCCATCCGACTAAACCAGCACAGCTGTGGCGCACCCATAGAGGCTCCTATTGCTAATTTCATCGCTCCCCACCATTCGAGTCATCAAATGGGGGCGTCAACAAGCTTCTCTATGTCTGGGTCATTCCTCGACATTCCCACAAAACTGGGAGCATCTGGTTCCTCAGTTTGGACCTTGGCTGTGACTTAATACAAAGTCAGCAGCCCTCTTGAATACATCAAAGTGTCCATTGCTGGGTACCACTTGGAACAAAGGAAGGGACATCACACTTGTGATCTCAAACCCTCCAAAGTAGACGGCTGGCTCCAAAGCAAATGCATTGGGTTGCCATCGTTGTCCAAGAGAGAAAGCTCAGAAGTCCTAACCGAGACTAAGTCGGTTATAGTCGGCTTCAAAGATATGGATGACTCGCAGACGGTGGATTTTGCAACCACCCTCATGCTTTGGGATGAGGGTGTTTACAATTTTGTTCCATCTATAGTAGGCAAAGCCCTGTTTCAGAGCAAAGTTGAGGAGTCTGAAGTGTGCCTGTTTGGTCTGTGTTTGAAAAGCCTCCAGCTCCTTCCTTTCCTCAGACTCTGGGTCGAGGCTGTTTTCCGCAAAGAGTGACTTACAATGGCCGAGGTGTTGCACAGAGGGAGAGGTGGTGGTACGCTCATTCCAGCTCTTCAGCTTCCCATCAAACTGTTCCCGTGTCAACGTTGCTGGAAACTCACCATCACAAGCCCGAGCCAGATGACTGAGGAGGACTGCTGTAACAAATGACGTTTCGAATGAGCAAATGTCGTATTCGCCAACCAGGATTGCATCGGCTGTACCAGTACTGGCGGAGAAATATGTATCGGTCCGCAGTGTGGGGTCAGATCGGAATTCTGTCTCCTCAGCCTGCCGAAATTGCTTTTTGAGGTGAGCCTGGAGGAGGCGGTTTCAATTTCTCGCGTTGGGAATAGATCCTCGCAACAGATACATATCGCAGACTTGTAACGACAAGCATAATATGTTAGTGGCGCAGAGCGCACGCTAGAGGGAGACTCTCGTTCGGGGGCAGCTTCCACAGGAGGATGGATAGGTGCATGGTCGCGAGTGAACCCGCCACACCATGACATTACACACAGTGCGACCCGCAGAAAGTATCAACATGGCACCTCGGCGTTGCTGCACAAGAATCAATAAACTATGGTTTGCCATGGCTTCTTCGAGTGGCTTAGCGTTGCGCAGCCGCTTCTTCACATTAGCCAACCTCGTGTCAACTTCAGATTCGTATTGTGCTTAGAGTTCCATTTGATACTCTAGGCGCAACTTGTGTGTTCTCCACTCATCCACCTCCTCTGCACGAAGTTCCTTGCCGGCTTGCTTCTTTCGTTTCTTGCAGTCTTCCAACGAGGTGGGTAAGTTTGAAAGGCTGGATTGGAGATCCGCTCCATGCGTAGACGAATCTGATTGGTAATGTCGTTCTTGCTTTGGAGTGCATGCAGGGCCATCGTCAAGACTTTGAACTTCAGTCGTAACTGGGTCCATGCTGGGGGAACTGGAATCGAGCGAGATAGGTTGGGGCACTTTTTTGGCGGGTGGAGGCTTGCAGAGATCAGGAGTTGATCCAAGGCTTCAGCCTCCTGCTGAGTAGTTGCTTGGTTGAATCTCCCATAGTCGTGAAAAGCAACCATGATTGTTCAAGATAGCTGTAGCTTGGATTTTTGATGTAGGTGGTGAGACTTGATGGCTTTTCTTGGAGTGCACCCTGCGTTGACAGGGCTTGGGTAAAGTTGCTGTATCGGACCCAAACTGCTGTTTCAAGTCGAAGTGGACGAAGCAGGCACGGTGGTCATTATAGAAGTGGTCACAGAATGGATGGTAACCACAAGCGTCGACAGCATCAAAAGGTTATTCAGAAACAGGATTAATCTACTACCTTACTGATGCCTCTGACATAGGTGTTAATGATCGCTGATTTCCGTGATTGTCGTCAGAAGCGAGAATCGGATCACAGCGTTGCAATCGGAAACCTGTACCATGTGACAGCCCCCTGCCATATCCTCTTATGCCAAATCGTCATTGGCAACCCCACTACCACAAAATCCATGAACCATTGGCGATGACATGGCCACACCATCCTGAAGATCATCATAATTGGTTCTCCCCCTTGGATTCCAGGGGGGACCGGTCCCCTTGATTTCCCTGTACATAGATGGCGGTATTGGGCAAAAACGTCCATCACCCATCCCCTCAACACTCCCATCGGTCACGAGTAAACCATATTTAGTCGAGAACTGTAGCGTTTCCATCTTTGCAGGAAAACTGTCCTTGTCCAGCGGCCCAGGTATCAGCCTCAGCCTCCAACACTCTTCCAACGGTGCGGCCCATCACCAGAGATAGAGTCCCTCCTGGCTTGTATTCTCTTAAGTGGATCTGAGGAGTGCTGCCAAAGGTGACAAGAATGCCGCCACCCACTACGATGTCAACCGCCGTGTTCCCGACTCCCAACTAGCCAACCTAGGAACTGTTGGTGTAGGAACCAAGCCATACCGGTGATGGGGAGCAGCAAATCCTCGGACTCCCAAACACAATTTGGTTCAAGCTTTCGCCTGCCGGCCGCCAAATCTGGTGCAAGTTCTCTGATGCCGACAGACAAGTCCTGATAGGTTCGACGCCGCCTGTAGTTGATTCCAAGAGTGAAGCTGACCCAGCAGTCGGGGACACCTTGATTCTCCAGACAGGATACGAAGCCTTCAAGGGCAAGCCCCAGCCCAATCCCAACCTGGATTTTTGATGGGGCGACTAGTGTACGTGCTGCACCGGTAAAGCCCAAGGAAACCAGGCACCGCCCATTCTGCGGGGTAGCATGCCAGCCCCACAATTTGGGGCTACCTTCCGCAGGAAATGGCACCGTATGACAAGTCCCCTTGCTAGATTTGTCATCATGATTCAAGCAAACCGTTTTGTGATTTACAACTTGTCTATTGTCACCAGTGGTGTCAAAAGACTCATCTCTGCCTGAGATGTATGTGTTGTAACGTTTTGTCAACCACGTATTGTTTCCAATATGACTACTGACTGTTTGTCTATGCCCCTCTGAGCTTTATGGGGAGACAAACAGATGGCTTCTAAGGCAATTCCAAGCTATGGTGCAAGTATGGGGAAACCAAGTGGGATCCTTACTGACATCCAAGTGCAATAGGTTCCTTGTGAAGTAGGGAGTATCTAGCAGATAGACTCAAAACATTTCCACAACACCTTCGCGAGTGACCAAACCAAGGTGGATGTGTATTGATCCATCCCAAGGAGAAACCTCTGCGCAACACCAACCAACGTCCGTCGACTCGCCATTCCTAACACCTTT